GGAAGGAAAGAGAGAAGGAGATATAAAACAACAAAGACAGGCTTTAGCTAAAGGAGCAGTGAGTTGGGTTCTCAACCAGAAAGAAGAGAGAAAATGGGGGAGAGAGAGGGAGAGTGTAACGCAAGTGGGAATTACAAAAAAGAGAGGAATGGGGAGGGAGAGAAGGGGAATGGGAGATGCAGCAGTTGCAGTTGTTCCAGAGATTCAGGTGGGCTGACAATATCAAGAAAACTGGAAAAAAGGAGCAGATATATCAGAAGGTGCAAATAGACAGATGTTTTCTGTGGATAAGTTGAGACTGAAAAGGACTCATTGGAATAAATGGAAATTATATTTTGTTTTACTTAAGACTTTAAAAATGTAAAATAAAAATGGATACAAGGAGGATACAACCTCTTTTATGATTCATTTTTCTTACCAGACTAAATATTTAAGAACAAACTCTTAGTTGAAATGATGACCTGGGGATGGATGGATATGACAGTAGATTCACTGGAGAATTTTGAATGATGTTAGTAGCTTAAGGATACAACAGAAACACCCCACCAAGGATTCTCTGGAATCCAAAGCCCTAATCACTCCTTCAATCTAATGCCTATTGGAAATAACTAAATGGGATCCCTAGATCTATAAACCACAAACAAGACTAAATTTCCTGCTTCCATTGATCCCCTTCTGTATTTTCTTATGCTTGAAAATTTCTGTGTGTCTAATGTAGCAATGCAATCCTTATTTCAAATATTTGATACAAATCTTTGTCTAAATGCAGGCTACCTGCAAAGATTTTTTTTAAGACAGCATCAACAGATTTTGTCAATCATAAGTTGCATGAACACCAGCATGAACTACTGTAAAGCTTTTTACAAAAAATAGGCTAGGAAGGTACAGAATGTAATAACTTTAAGGCACAGATGGTAGTGGAAAATAGACTGAATGGTGTAGAATTGTTTCTGCCTCTTGTGCAACCAGAATGTTCACAAAATTCAAACAAAGACAAAAGTAGATAAACTTTTATTTTATATATATATTTATATTATTACAAAAATACAGAATGAGCTGCTACCCAGACATCCACTGGGCTACAGTTTACTTTACTGTTTTGGCACCCAAACTAACCTCCTAACTGGTAGCCTTTTGTTTTAGATAGTTTGTATGTGTTAAAATGTTAAGTTAAAACCATTGAAAATCTTTTTCTCTGTACAGAATGATGTTTCTGCCTGCTTGAGTTCCAATAAACAACTGTATTATGTATTATTTATGTAACTGTACATAAACAACATTGATTTCTTCTGTGGAGCAATACCCTAAATTCTAGGGGATGCCACCAATAATTGCTTAGACAGCTTAAAACTGCTTGAACTCAGAACTTTCATACAATATGTAAAACCTTCAAACTTCTAAAGTTTACTATAAAACATTCTTTCTTTTTTCTTAAACAGTTGCCACATCTGGCAACATCAAACTATAACCTGACTGGGTGCTGGAATAAAGTAGACACAGCCCTATCAACTGCATCATTATCAGTTGAGCTGGGATTCACAAGTTTCAAAACATTTTTGTAGCCTATTTGTTATGCACTACTGAATTATATGATAGAAAAACAAAGGAGTTACAGTGAAAAACAAAATAAATGTGTGCTGAAGCACAAAAAAATAAAAAATAAATGCTTATAATTGTAATTCATAGAAACTTACCACACCAAAAAGTTTTCATCCTTAACATTACATTCACTCAGACTTATAGGTCCACCAATATGGTATTTAAGAACAAAATTCATTTGAATGATAAATACAATGTCAATTATATCCAAACCACACATGTTTTCAAAACATACTTTTTTGACCCAAATACCCTTAATGTCACAGTTGTATTGCCTACAAAATGGTGTAATTATTACGAAAATTGTATCTTTTTTACTGCTAAATCAGGTTTATTACACAATAGAGAAACAGTTAAAGTATGTTTAAAATAGTTATGCCCAAAAGAAATGGTCAAAATATCACATTGCCAGGAAATGTAATAAATAATATGAAGGAAAAAGCAAGGGAAATAAGGAATGACAACATCGGATCAAAATGAGCTTGTGTTTTTGGCAGACATTTAAGTACAGGCAATTAACATAAACTAAAGTTACACTGGATAAGAGGTTTTGTAGAAAAATCCTTGAAATAAAAACATTAAACTGTAAATTAATACAATGAATATATTTATTTCCTACTTTGAAAAAGCTGACCTTGTGATAAACTGCTTGACAGATAGACACAAATTATTTTACTGTTATGAATGCATTATCATAAAAGTAGACTGCCTGGAAGAGAAGTTTCCATGCACAAATTCCAGTGTCTGTTTTGAAAAAAATACATAACATTCTTTTATTTATATATGATGCAATCAACAGGGACATATCCACATGGGATTCGTAAGACAATATTAATTTCACCACAATGCCATTCTTCTTATTTAAAGCCCAGATTAATCCCTTCAGTACAATCAACAATCCCATTTTTTTGGCAGCTGCCTATTGAGTGAACAGAAATGTAAATGATGTTGGGATATTTATCCTCAATTAGGATAACATTTTGACTAACATCAAGGAGAAATGCGTTTATATTCATTTCAGTGTTTATTCCTTTACTTCTGTTGTAAAAAGTGAATTATTTTATTCTTTATTTTAGTATGTTATAATTTATTTTTCTCCCATACCCAGGGAGTAAGGAAAGAAGAGAGGTCGTCTTCCATCCATTTGTTTTTTTAACTGCTCTTTCCAATTCAGGGTCATGGGGGAACTGGAGCCTATGCCAGCAACAGGTGCAAGGCAGGTAACCATTGTAGGGCAAACAGACACACACACAGACGTGCACACACACCAGGGCAATTTTCCCAGAAGCCAATTAACCTACCAGTACAGTATGTTTTTGGATTGTGGTAAAAAAACAGAGCACCCAAATGAAACATATGCAACAGGGAAAAGACACACAAGCTACTTACAAGAAAGGTTGAAATCAGCAAAAATACCAGGTTCACCTTTTAGTTACATACAGTATCTATATCAAATGAATGTGATCTTATTTATTTGAAATGTGATATTTCTTTAAAAAAGTTCCCAAATGCAACAACATTTCATATTTAGCAAACATTGAACTGATCCACTTATAAAAAAAGTGTGAATTCAAAAAGTTATTTTAAAAAAAGTTTACTTTTGCCTACAGCATCTAAACTTTTTAGACAAGTAATATATGTCTAAAATCCTTAAAATTAATCAAGCAAACTTCAAGTTAAATGTGTAACAGAGATGTTTTCAGCTAACATCATGGGAATTTTTTAATTTTTATGTACTGAAGAAATACAATTTGGACTATAAAGAATACAAATAATTTTTTGCAGGTAATTAAACTATGAACTGCAAGATAACCAGTTTAAATTTCCCCCAAACAAATAAAAATTCACCTGGGTTCACATACGAAGTTTTTTTGTGGAAAATAAAACAAAGAACATGAAGAATCCAAAGAATATGAATATGAGTCAAGCAATTCACTAAAATATTTCTTCAGTAGTTATTTCTAGTAGGTTTATAATATCCCCCTTACAATTCTATACTTAATAGTTTACAAAATTCCTTTTTAAGGCTTTTTATATAAGGTTGAAGCTAAGGACTTACAATGACAGTTCTATATCTGGACATCTGAACATCTGAGTTCAGTCAAAAATAGATCATAATTCATATGAGTATGTATTCCTCCCTAGGAGGGCAAAAATAGTGCCTTTTACATCCTCAGAACATGTGAATACTCCACAAGTCAGAAAAGGCTCACTGGAATAGTCTGACACTGGAATATGTCAATACAATTTAGACCATTTTGACAAGCTTATATAATTTCCTATTTTAAGTGATTCACCAATTTAGTTTAATTTTTTAAAACAAGGACTTTGCCATCCATCTGAAATTTGTTGATTATCCACTATGTTTTTACATATCGTCCTACTCATATTTGGAATATTATGGAATGAAGTTCATCTTAAATGTAAACCTTAACACAACATGAGCCTGATTGTACAGTATAGATGTGACTCCACCATTGCATGGGATTAATTATTACTGTGAATCTAATGTCTATTTTGTTTTTGTAGACAACAATAAAAAGAAAAGATTTGCATTTCTATTATGACATTCAATTTAAAACAGTAGCATGGAAAAAATGGACCCTGAATAATAAATCTATAGTATTTTGTTAAAAGATGACATGACTTATCCTTCCTGTGACTAAAGAATTATGCAAAAAAAAGTATTGAGCATTAAAAGCTGTTGTGTTTTTAATGATTCTCAGTATATATTACTAATAATTAATATTTTGATTTAATAACCTTATTACCTTCTTACAGAGGCTGTCACTTACAAGTATTTTTTAGCTCTTGGTCAGAAATTCAGTTTCTAACTTATCTGAATCTTAATTATTGCCTATTTTCAAGTAAATTACAAAAATTACTTTAAAACGTACAGGGGGTTCAGTTTAGTTAGAGAAATATGCCTTGAAAAATACTTTTGTTGTAATCCACAAATACATTTTTATATGACACTTCAAATTTACATCTTTGTAGTTTGTACTGTCACTGGCTACTACATTTTTTAAATAAATGATGGCAGGAGTTCTGAAAATATCACAGTTTAGTAAGTCTACAGCAATTTTGTGCAAACACAAATGCTTTTTGGGTGGTACATTTATTAGGAAACATTGCAATCAGCTAAGCCTATACTAATTTGTTAAGAAATGCAATATAAACATTTACAATAAACAGGTAAGAGATAAGAGATAACTTTATTAGCCATATACAATTGCTTGCATTAGGAATTTCTCTTTTCACATACCCCAACTTGCTCTCCATTAGACACACAGACAGAGAGAAGCTTGGGGTCAGAGTGCAGGGTCAGCCATTGTACAGTGCCCCTGGAGCAGCTGGGGTTAAGGGCCTTGCTCAGGGGCCCAACGGAGTAGAATTCCTCTGCCGGCTGCGGACTTTTAACCAGCAACCTTCCAGCCACAGGCGCAGATCCTTAGCCACAGAGCCACCGCTCTGCTCCTTTATTACTATAATAAGTAATAAAGGTACTTATTATAGGGAACATATTAAAATAAATAACAAGGGTAAGCTTGATGACAGTAGGATATTATTCATATTTAAGAAATTTAGGCTTGGAAAGCAGTATTACTTCTATTAGCTTCACTTACTGTATATGTATAAAGGAACTGTAATTTACAGATGAAGCTTTCATAGCAGCCCTAACGTAATTCCTAACTTTGCCTTGGTGCTTCTTGCAAGGACTACAATGAATTTGGCTAGGCAATCAATTTTTATACAAGCTTCACAATGAATAGAGACAAAAATCAGAATATTTAAAGAAGGTAGTGTTAAATACTATCATTTACCTACTGCATACTTTGTTTCGTTCCTTTATGCTATGGTTACTTCATCCATGTTTTCCCACTTATTTTCAAAAAGGAAGTGAAAAAGTTCTAAATTTTCATATTTGCATCTAATGGGAAAAAAACAGGTTTGTCTGGGTATTGTTAACTGAATTTTTTCATATAAACAATGTATACAATGATTGCTACGGTCTCAAAAACACAGATAGCTATATTTCTCCATAAATATTTTACTGTAGTACATGTATTCTGATCACCACTGTTGCAACAGTATTTGTGCTGTGCTATGTTAGTATGAATTCAAAATTACATGAGGATAAAAAAACAACTATCGCAATGTGAGTATGAACCTCATAATATCTTAGGAGTGATTATCTCTGTTCATCAGTTTGCCATTAACACAAGTTTTGTCAAAATCAGAAAAAAAAGATCCATCAATGGAGGTAGTGATCATTTGTGGGTGAGTTTATCCAAATGGAGGGGGGATAAATGGGGGGGTGAGAAAATAGTCCCAACACCATGTAAACTTAAAAGTGCAAATTATATTGATCTTGGCAGTTTTTGCTGGTTAACATTTCTCACAAACTCTGCCAAGCATTCATCCAATAAAAATACAAAAATACACATATTCTCTTTGATAAAACTTCCTTTAAACCATATTGAATCAGCAGATTACATCCTTTTCGTGTTTCAGTGTTTTTCGGAATAATGCAGTCCTGTTTGAAAATCCTCACCTGCACATTAATCGGTATGTTTAAGGCAGAGCAGATGCATAGATGAGTACAGCTGGTGTCACACTCTGGGTTTGCAGATAACGTACCAGGGAAGGCAGGTAAATCCTTTAATCTGTCACTCTCAGGTTAATGTTTCTGTTCATGAAAAAAACAGACTTTGGTCTCTGTTTTGGCAGTGCTCCTGGGAAAGAACAGTCATCTCAAGCGTAGCTTCACCATCTTGAGGGTTCATGTTAATCTTGGAGAACACAAGAAGCCAACATTTGTCCTTCACTTCAAGAAGATTTAGAAATGTGTCCAAATGAACAGCTTTGCAAGAACAGCTGCATAAAACCTGCAATCTGAAGAGAGCAGGGAAAACAGATTTATCTCTCAGCATGTACCTTCTGAGATGTGGGCACAATGTCATAAGCAGTGCTAAATTGTGCATTTTGCCTAGATTAATTTACAAGAGTAATTGTAGATATTGTTTTCACAATATTGTAATTACAAATGAAAGCAATTCCCATTTTTTAAACATGAATTAGTTAATGTAATCAATGAAATGCTGTTCTTGAAGAGTATATGTACATATACTTTATAACTATACTGAATAAACACTTTCCAAAGTTTAAATAACAGATGGAAAATAATTCAAAACAGTTGTACTGTATGTCATTTGACTCCTTCTTTACTTTTTTGTCATTTGTGGAATGTAGTACCACAACTATGAGTCTACTGTAAGACAATGTTTGCAAAAATATATTTAAAATTTTAGTGTGTTAAAGTTTTGCACTTTTACAGTGGTTTTCCTATACAATAACCTGCAATGCATTTCTTGTGATTTCTTGTAGTTTCATTATCTATGGTGTTCCATTGTAAACATTCCTTAAACACATTTATGATGGAATTCCTAACTTCACCTTAGTAAAGTATAATGAACCCATGAGAAACCAGAGACAATCTGCACTCAAGTCACAGGAAAATGATAGTGAACTGTGGAAATCCTATCAGAACATTACTACAGTGAACTGCCATTAGGGCAGATCACCTGAAATATCACAGGGGGAATGTTTCTAAATGTATTAGGGGAATGCCCTAACAAATATTCAGAAACTTTGTTGACTGAAACAAGCTAACCTTGGTCAATATCTGCACTACAAAAAACACATATTTTAAACTTTAATTGTATTTATCATGAATCAGATTTTTAAGATAACTTTTTAAAGTTAATTTAATAAGTATTACTCTTCCTTACTGATAAAGCTTACTGATGCTCTAAATTGTCTTTTGCTATTAGTGGTTTGGAATTTCCTTAATTTTTCAACAAAATAGGAATGTAAAACATTTACTCACCACAGCTGAACAAGATTATAAGTATTACACCTGAATGGTCTTCAGTTTTTCTCTACAAATATAAAAAAGCATGAGAAATAAGATATTAGTACAATTTGAGGGGTCTGGACTATTTGGTAATGCTTGAGAGCACTCAAGTAATCCCTTTGGTATGGTGAGAACAAACATGTACTGTACTATATCATGGGTAACAGTTTGAATGCATTGTTCCGTAAAACAAAATGTGTGTTTCTTGAGTGTGGCTTTAAAAAAAATCTTAAAAGAATTGTGGACAAAAAGGTCCACAAAAAGTCCTTGTTGGAGAGCAGGCTAAGCTCTTTAGTGCACGTCATTCAGGCTTCACTATGGACTACATTTCAGGCATACAGTACCTAAAGCTTTGTTTTCCCATGCTTGCATGGACTTTCACCAGAACCTCTGATTTCCTTCTAGCCTGGGGGTTAAGGTTGATTGACTGCTCAAATTTTCCATTTAAGGGAGGAGTTCAAGAGGATTTCATACTTGGGGGACTTTGTGCACAGAACAGGCTATGGGCTATAGAATACTGAACCTAATATGCCTGGTAGGCAAAAAGGCTTCCTCTCATTTGTAACATTTTTCAAATTCTGATCTTTCAGCACTTCGGAGCACAGAAATCCATGTCATAACATGTCGTGTTCTCAAAATTTAAGGATTTAATCTTCTACTGGACACTGACGGACACCTAAAGACGTTTTTTAATGTCAGAATCTTACAAATCTTACATGCCCACTATGGATAATATATCCTGAAAAGCTACTGGATTCCCCTTGTGTGTGTTACAACTTGCAATGCTTTTAAGATGGTCAAACTACAGTATACAGCCAATCCTTCGAACAGCAAGACTGTACAGAGGTTGAAAGATCACAAAATGAGTCATGAGGTTATAAGTCACGTTAAGTGAGTCTGGAGATGAGTGGGACATAGTATGGTGTAAATAATGCTGCATTCTATGCCAATATAAATGCATGTTCTTCATTTATAAAAACCTTAAATTAACAGTTAATCTGGCTGGCAATTAAAAGCAAACTTCGTAGTAGTTGGCAGTACATTTAAGTACCAAGAGCTACATTTTGCTTATATTTGAAAATTGACAATAATTATGTATCTCAATTATGTATTACATTTCTTCAGATGTGCTGTCCACCTCCTCTTCCCTTTGTAGTCTACCATTTGATATATTTCCTGGAAAACTCCTTCTTCTTCTGCTTCTTACCTGTCAGGACAGAAAACAACATATTGGATTGAAACGTTACATGCTATAGTAATAATGCATTGGATTTATAAACTATATGTTGTATATATTTGTGTATATATACCTTTTGTGGTATAAACATTAACCTCTTATAATTAAATATTTGAAAAACATGTGTGGTTTGAACAATTTTTTATATACTCATAAGAACTCCACCTTACCTTCCACATGGCCAGAAGTACAAGACCACATAATGGAATAGTAATAAGTAAGTAAAGGAACTGCATCTTGTCTTTGACTCCTGATTCATCGGATGTTTGTTTATCTAAATTTGTGAGAAGGAAAAAATAAAAAATCATGGTATTAAAAACCAAGATTATTTTTTTAATACTGTATACAATGTGCATTAAAATAATATTTGGACCCTAGCACAGTTTTCACAGTAGATTTAAAGCTTGTAATCATGGCACTTTAAAGTAGCAATTAATATTCATTATATACACAATCTCACACTAGCAAAAATCAAAAGAAAAACGTAAATACATAATTAATATGAAAGAAAACTGAAAAAGCCATGGTTGTACTAGTATTTAAACTTAAATTAATTTCGGTAAAAGTACCATACAGTAATAAGCCATACATGATTCTACAATATATGTAAATGTGTCCATAAGGACCTCCGTTCAAGGAAGGATTCAACATGAAGGTTTCAAAACAACAAGGGATTCAATTCAGAAAAGCAGGAGAAAGGTATTTCTCAAAACAATGAATATCCCTTTTTGAATACCCGGTTGCAAAGAAGTGGAATGTATATCATTCCACCAGTTCATTAATGCAGGACTTGCTGCCCCTCAGACTGAGCAGCTGGTCAAAGAGAAAATGGTGAAGCCAAAGTTAATTAAGTTAATTGAAAAAGCTAAAGTGTGCAACAGCACAGAAGGGAGAAAATGTGTTTGAGCCAACAATGTAAAAATTGGCCTGTATGCACAAATGGAAAACCCCATCTGAAAGTCCTGTACTCTGTAACAGAGTATTTACAGTAAGTCTGTGATGGTGCCAGCCTCCTCCTGCTGGAATTATATTGGAAACACCTGACTTAATGGGCTGATTAGTATGCTGTGGAATGAAATTGCGGAGGTGAAAAAGGAGTTAATGTGACTGGCTTTTTGAACATTTCACAGGATCGGTAATTAGGGTATAAAAGCAGTCAGCTATAGCAGACAAGAGGCTATGTCTAAGTTCCTAAAGTTAGGGAGAGAGTTAGGATAGCACAGAAATTTAGGTGTTTGCTGCTGTGCTTTAACATCAGCTGCTAGCCTGCCTTCCTATTTTCTAGATATAGTTTGAAGGATTGAAGAGTTGATGGAAGAAGCTTGCAAGTCTTTTATTGGTTAGGGAGTGGATTTAGTTCATGAATGATGGATCCAGAGTGAATTTAGCAGTTTGTGTCTACTGTGTATTCTTGGAATTAATATGGATATCTCAGTAGGGTTGTTGAGTAGTGCTGATTATAGTTGGAAATTGGGTGCTGAGGGTTAGGTCATGTAAGGTGCACAAGGGGCATATGCTTTTCTCTTAAAGGATTAAAGGGGAAGCCTGTCCATTTATTGAAGGGATGAGCCTGGTCCAGTGTGTGCACTCCTAGTCTGGTGATACTGTATGTTGTCTCTGGGTTACATATTGTGGCCCAGAGTTTTGCATTCACTACAATCATACAGCAAGCAAGTGGCAAATGTTTATTTTTTGTTCAGATAAAAAAAAAAATATTTTTTTTTAATTAAAAGTGTTTTATCTGCCGCAAAATCAATATAGCACATCACTCAATCAATGCCACCCCTAGTGTCAAGCAAGGATTTAGTAACATTATGTTATAGTTTTGTTTCCAAGTTCTCTAGGATGAATCAAAGGAAGCTTGTTGAGACAGGACTGATCAGAGATTAAGCAAAGTACTTGCAAATCTTGGATGAAAACCTTTCTACGGTTTGGAACAAAACTGACCTTTTAGCATGACAATCCGAGCACTAGGCCAAAACTACACTGGAGAAATTTAAAGATAGAAAACAAATGCCCTAGAATGGCAAAATCAAAGTCCTGAATGAAATCCTGTTATATTTTTATAAGCCAAAAAATCTGGGTGTAGTTGTCAGTTTCTTGTGGAATACTTGTGATCAGCATATTTTTTTCTGACATTTATTTTCTTATCCTTAGATGTTTTTAATTTTAGCATTCTGATTTTAAATAACAAGTTTAAAAAAGAAACAACTATAACATTTTCTTCAAGACAATTAAAAATTAAAACCGTTCACTCTTAGTTAGAGTTTCATTTAATATTCTTTACTGCAAGCTGTGATGTTCTATGGACCAACTCTACACTATTACAATTTGACTACAAGAGTATAAGATTTATTGTGTTATGAAATCCTAAAAAATAAAACCAAAGTTTCTAGATTTTTGTCAAGGGATTAATTTCAGCATTATCAACAACAACACTAAAGTCCTAAACTTTGCACTGCTGCCTGTGAGAGGGCAGTAGGTTCCCACAGAAAGCTGTACACCAATTGGTTAGGTAAGAGTTTAAAAATTAGGAAACTGGGGCTTACAGGGTTGGTCAGATTTGGACCAACTAACCAACTGGTGGAACTGAGAAATTTGAGTTTTGGACACATGAGTTTTGGAAGACTCTCAAGGACTTAAAGTTTGGAGCCAGTAAGTAGCTTACCTACCCAGCTGAGCTTATCAAGAAGGCTCATGAATTCTAGTTAGAAGCTCAAAGAAAAGATTTTTGAGCTTTTGTTTGTTTTGTCATTTATTTTGCCTCACAAAGTACATAAAAAGCACTCTTTAACCTATGCCTATTTTGTGGGTCTGTTTTATCTGGATCTGCCCATGAAAATTCTGGTTTATGACACTCTACACAAGGGTGTGTTACAGAGCCAATAAGCATGACCTTAGTTTTAATACTGTTTACTTTCAGAATGTTATGCTGCCTCCATATCTTAACATCAGATTGGATGCTGTAAAGGGCAGAAACCAGAGCAATAATAGTACCTGATTTAACAAGTTACAGCACAGAATCCTATAGAACATTACTTAACTGCATTACTTAAGGCATCACCAGATTAAAACATAGAAGATTTGGATAAGTCAAATAGGAACCAAACCGATGAAGGCAAGTAACATAAATCTCTACATAGATTTCCATGGAATTAACTAAAATGTTATATTTTAAGACAATAACCACAGCTGCATATAAGTCCATAAGGAGAAGAATATAAGTAACATATGCAAATCATTAAATGTAACAAGTGTCATTCAGTACTGTGTCTTTTGTCTAAAATCTAAGACCGTAAAGGTTAAAACTGCTCATTCGTTCCAAGATATCCAACTGATATTAAACTACTACTGCTTGCTCTAGAATTTTTTCAAGACAGCTAATTGGAAATAAGACAGCATTAATGAAATACTTTACTCTCTGGAAAGGTTTATCTCATATAGGTATGATGGCAATACATTTTAAGCTTGCAGATACAAGACCAGATTTCAAAGATTTATAAATGAGGAGAGTAAATGGACAAAGAGCACAGGCCTCTCACTATTTGACAATGTTGTGAAATGAGTAGTATACACAGCTGTAAATGTGCAATAATTCAAACCAGTGAAAGCTGAAGTATGTGTAGTAGACATGGACACAAAAGACGAACACAGAAGGTGATTATTAATAATATGAATAGTATCTTATTGTGTCAAAATTACACGGTTGGGTCATAATATTCTGTAAAGTGTGGCTAAACAAACCTACCATTTTGTCTGAGCCTTTTATTGATAGTGAAAATAGGATTGTTCTCAAGTCAAGGTTCTGCTGCAGGAACCTCTGTGGAACCTTGCTTGTTTGACTATAAATAATTGTATCACAATTTTTCTCATGTCAAAATTAACTCAAGTGATGTTTTTGTTATTTCTTCTACCAAAATAGTCGCATAAACTCAATTCCATTAACTATTAATAATGTGGAAGCCGAGTCTTAAGGTCAGAAATTCTTAATTTAAATGTTTTTAGATTGGAAATGTTTGAAGTATGGGTGTGACCATGAGTTGGGAAGTTGACATGCTGAGTACACCCAAAGGAATCCAAAGCAGCAAAGAAATCTGAAGTAGAAGAGCACTCAGGAGACTCTACATGTGTATTGAAGAGCATGGCAATGGTAATACCTGATAGCTCAGAAAACACAGGCAGGAACCACGTCCCAGGTTTGGAGAGCTGATAAGAACTGCCAGCAGTGGCTGAAATACCTTTATATTAAATTCAATGCATTCAACTATGTAACATTCTGAACAGGAAACACAATAAGTCAATCTACACATGAATGGAAGTTAAACCACTACCCTGACCAGTTCCAAGGTTTTTCAACATATTTAGGGGGAACGTCCATTTGACAGCAGTGTTTTATTTTTTAGGTGGTACAATCCCCTGGGGAAAGGAGCATAAAGCCTTTTCTTTTATGATTGTTTTGGGAGGACTGGAGTCATTTAACAGCAGTAGTCCAGGTGTTGTGATCGCCTGGGAAAATTAGCCTAAAGCCATTTGCTTTCATGCCCATTCTTTGAAGGACTTTTAGAGCCACACAACAGCAAGGAATTTCAGTACTACTACAGGTACCTCTCCCAAGGTCATCTGTTTGAGATAACCCTGGATTCTTGTCTATTTATCTGGAGGGACAAGAACCACTGTAATTAAAGACAGCTTTGCTGTTGCAGGTTATGAAACTGTAGCTGATGCTATAATCTTACGACAGACTTGAATTTAATCCACAGATAAACATTTTGTACATTTTTTCAAACAATTCCTAAATTCTTTTCATCCACTGAATAGTATGTTAAAGCCTTTTGTTTTACAGAAAAAATGGTACTAATCCAACTCTTAATAATAATCATGTCATGGTTATAATTCAGTCATTATTCAATTTAAGCATCTCAATTAAAAAAAATCAATTTAAATCAAAGTACAAAACAAAAAATTTCAAGAAAAAAAATCTACGTAAATAGGTTACCCTCCAATATTTGTTTCTGTACACCCACATGCAATAAGTTAAGTAATCCTAACAGTTGAACCTTCTAACTCAAACCAGTATGGGTTTTCATCTTTAGAAAATGCCACAAAGAAATTAATTTTAACAAAGTCCTATTTTGGAAAATGTATTTTATATGCTAAATTCACATACTTGTATAGTAACATGTTTAGTAATGCCAAATGCACACTTACAATTAAAGCTACTAATAACTACTACTTACAAAGGCATTAAAGCTACTTAATTTTTAATGCTTTAAGGGATTGTCAGTTCAAGTGTTAGGGTAAGTATGAAGATTTAGATATCTGTTTAAATGCCATTTGAATGTATTCCCTTCCAGATATACATACTCCCAGAAGTATATACATATTGTATAAAGGAGCACCTCTGAGCAATATGAAATGCATATTTTACTCTATTTTTACAATACTAAGAAAGAAGAAAGATAATTTTGTTTTTGTTTACATTCTCATAACATGGTAAAAAATATAAAAGGTTCAGTTTTATTCAAGATCAAGTTTTATGTTTACAGATCAGTTTAAAGTGTTTCACACAAAACTAGATTTCTTTTAAGAAAATCTTTGCAACATGAAAAGTTGTTTATAACCTTCAAAATAGATCATAATTATTACAACTACTAGCACCATGTACTGTATGGTTTTAACCATACATATGAAATTTACAGTACATGCCCTTGTACAATACATTTATTAAATTTACACAAAAAAACGGAAAACAAAATGCAATTGCTGTGATAGACAAAATGAAAAAGCATACTGTACAGACTGTGTGGACACTGTTTCCATGTGTATCAATGAAGATAGCCTGCTTTCATGCATAGTGTCTTCTCTGAACAGGAGATTACATATACTGTCTAAACAGGGAAGTCTTGAGCTGGTACCAAAAGTCTGATTATTTTCCACAACTGAGCAGCAAGGGTGCAAAGAATTAATTAACTGTGTACCTCTTCTCCATTCTCCCTCTTCCAGACCAGCAGGTGAAGGAGCAATAATAGTCTAGTTTGGACAGCACCAGGGCTTGGACTAGCAGCTACAGTATGTGGATCAGTTGGTAAGGAAGAGGTGAATTCTATTAATGTTGCTCAAAAAGAAACAGCAAAGGTGTGCCACAGAAAAATGTGTTGTGAATAGGAGAGCTAAGGGTCAACAGCATGGTTGAGTAAAGAGAAACAGAAATGGTGAGATCCACATTTCACAATTAAGTAACTGTTTTATTTTTAAGTCACTTAAAATGATTTTTTTCGGCTAACTGTACAACTAACTTTGAAGTATCTTAGTACTTGTGCTACTGCATTTGTGTCTTTCCATTCAAAAGTGAATGGTTTAAAAATGACAGATTTAGGATGACAAAGCCTTCTGTAATGATGATGGAAAAAACACAAAGTCCTTTTTGGAAATTTTAAACTCCAAAGTCATCTGATGCATGTTCAGAAACAGGGATGTCCCTGCCCTTAAGGTGCTGATAAATACTCAAGACATTTTGACTTAAATTGCAATTTAAATAGCAATTACCAACATAGAGCTTAGCCTCTGGCTTTCTTTAACCTGAAAATCATTCATCACCTCTTTATACCTGGTGCACATTATAGACTATTCATGTTGGACCTGTTGGATGAGTAATTATCATAATTAACTAATTGTTCCCTTTTACTGCTAATGAGCCCTTAACCACAGCTAAAGGGTCCTTTCTTCCAACATTAATGAAAACACTATAACTGAATGAAAATGTTAAAAAGATAAAATGAACTTTAGTTATAAGGCAGTAATGTCAGAAGTGGTTCTTGGATAACAGACTATCACCTCCCTTTTCCTGAGTACCTTTTTGTAACTTGAAACAATGTCTGAAGCTGAAATCTCAGTGAGATTGCATAAAATGAATTTATGTTACTGAATATAGCAACCTAAAAGGGACTATATAAACTGTCACTCACTAAATTCTACAATAACTTCAGCATTAATTCCATTTATACATATATGTGGGGAGTACACCTTGACTACATCTATCTTCAGTGTTGAATGACACAGGAGAACGTCATCTTTTTGTCCATGTTTCAGTCTGTTCTTTTTATGAAACCATGCACTTACCTGGAGTGCAATTAGCTGCAGCTGTGCAGGCTGTTGTTCTTATTGTTCCAGTTATTATTGTAGATCCTGCACAAAAAGGGTGGAGTATTAGTGTACTGTGATGAAAAACGTTTATTGAGAAATATTAAACGTTCGTCATAAGCTCCTTTTCTTTTCATTTATACAATAGGATAGCTCTGAAGTCTTTAAAAGAGTTCCTGCACTGTATAAGATCTGAAGAGTGCTCTATGATCTACACATTAACAATGAAGGTTTAGTTCTTTCTTCCATTCAGGAATCAAAAGAGGAATTTAGCAGCTGCTTTGTTACTCTGGAGAAAAGTCAGTAGAACTCAGTTCAATAAATGAACACCTGTATTTAATTTTATTTTCCAAAACATGTGTTTAAAAACAAACAATAGCTCTTTAATCAGTAGCAGAGAGAAAATTAACCGTACAACCTAAGAGGTGGTATTTACAATAGATGAAAGGAAACATACAAACTGTGATGTGCAAAGAAATATTTATATTAGTGGTCACTGCTCTGTAGGATAATATCACATAAGTAGTATTTTCTATTCAACATATTTTGTATAAGAATTTTAATGTATTAAAAATAGTCTGAATGTTAACATATGTCAGCGCAAAAGAAGCAAAGGAATTAACTTGAATTAACTATTTTTAATCTGTTTGATAAAAAAGCTACAAATGACAAATATGAGATTGCACATACGATATATAGTAGGGAGACCACTATTCAAGCTGTGGTTGAGGAAGAAATGATAAAATGCAAATAAGATTCATTTTAATGGAATTTTGTTTTGTAAAATGACTTATGAGAGTGTATTGAAAAGCCTGAAGAAAGGTGTCCCTACTGCACCAACAATATATAATGAGTAAGAAAGACACTATATGGAATAGTACTATTGCTTGATAAAGCCTCAACAAAACAAGAGATTATGTTACTGACAGTTATTTATTTTCTAAATTTCAATTAAAATGATTTCTATGAAGGTTATGTCATTTACGTTTTCACATGAGTTTCCTAGATTCAGTATATTATCAATTTTAAAGATAATATTTATTCTTATTTTTCCCCAAAACAAAGACAGCTGAAAGTGCAACAGTAAATCTGTAGGTAAAAAGAACTATTCACTTGCTGTATTGTTTTAAACTTCAAAGTCACACTTGTCGGTCTCTCACATATTGACTCTCCAAAGTCTTGGAGCCTACTGTCTGTGTGACACCAGTCACAGTTGCTTGAGAAATACACTTTCAGCACATCAAGGTATGCAATTGACATCTTTAAAACCTCAACGTATGCACTAAAATAGATAATGAAGAGGTTTGATCCTCGTTTCCTTAAACTTGCAAATTTGTGAGGCCAGCTGTCAAGATAAAGTTTTTAATTAGGGGACCTGCATCCTAATTTGGACTATTACAGGACAATATTTATATTTACATAGAAAAGGTCATAAATAGTCTGATTACCTGTTGTTACTGTAGTTGGTTCTCTTGTGGTTGTAGGGCAGGGAGGACTATCACAGGTGTCAGACAAATGTTCATTTTCATGTTGTCTATATGTATCAAAAATGTCTGTTACATAGTCAAAATAGTTTTCTGTCAACAATTTGTCCTCTTTGTAATGACAATCAAATTCTCTCATTTTAAATTCCTTCAAAGGAAAATGAGAAAAACTTACATTAGGACCTCACTGGTATAGTTTCAAAGAAATATAAGACAATTAATTCGATTTAAAGAAAAAAATGGATTGCAGGACGAAAAGTAAAACTTTAAAAAGAATAACATAACATGTCAACAAAATGTACTAAATAAAATAAAATAACGGTCTTCTTAATGAAAGTAATTACAATGTCAAATTATTTGTACATTTGTAAATATTAATACTTGTCTGCACTTAGAAATGAAGCACAAATTAAAATGCATTTCTCATTCACAGCTGTTCTGTACTTTAATCTTTAGTCATTATGTATGGTTATGCTCAGTTCAGGAAAAAGAGTGGAAGACAGAGAATGGGGAGCAGAGGCTTAAGATGGAGATGAAGATCTTGTGGCTGTCAGTAATGTTGGAAAAGATGGAGCTGAGATGGGATAAGAAAATAGAGAAAGAGGTCCCACAGGTTTTTAGTACAAAACTGAAAGATTAATAAAAGGAGAGTATGGCCAAGGTGACAGCTGAAGAAAAGCACGAGATAACAGAGTGACAAAAGTCTAATGAAGAAGGCAGTTTACATTTCCTCTAGTTTCTGTGCAGTTTCCCAGAAGCAAGTTTTGAGATTCAAGTAAGCTAAGCTGTTCTAATACAATATGTTGTTCTAATACTGATGAAGACAGAAAACAACTAACATTATTTAAAATGCAAAGAAATAAAACAGTTGGCATAAAATAGGAATAAAGCAGAGATTTTGACATAAAATAACATACCAGAAATACTTTGTCGGTATATTCCAAACGCATATTCTGCATCATGTGAGTAAGAAGTGAGATATTTTCTTTGTTGGAAGATATGTTGCCAAACTGCTTAGTGAGATTGCTTAAACTTTTCTCCAGATAATAAATATTAAGTTGCACCCAACACATGTCATTCTGCAAGAAAAGGAAAATGAAATACATAAGTTGTTTTTGCAACCATTAAAGTCTCAAATCCTTTCAGAAATAAATAGCTCTCCTTCATACATTTTAAAATACATAGATGTACAGTAGCTAAAAGATTAGCATGATCTTTTCCATAATATTGTCAAGTTGACTACTGTACTTTGAAGAGTTAACATTTAGAGTCTGGTTTCGTAAAGATAACTGTAGTTGAAGTATAACTTACCACTGCTTCAGGACGAGGGATATAGCGTACATGAATCTTGTAATCCTTTGGTATATTCTGTTTCTGAGAAAAGGTGACACACCAGATAACATTAAAAATTAATCTCAGATGTTTAACATTAAACAGGGTATTCATCATCTAAAATATTACTTTCTCTTGGTACTGTACTTATGGATAAATGGTAAAATACAGTAAAAATTGTTTAATTTCCAAAATCCTTATTATGTTAACCCACAATTAAACAATTAAACTACTTTGGCTTTGACGTTAGAGTGCAGTTAAAAGTGCCCTAATATCCTAAACATAAAATTAAAATTCTTACCAATAAGGGAATTACGTTAACATCATCGGTTATAGGACTTCCCAATCCACATGCACGTTCCACAAAGGTGATACACAAAAATAAATAGCATATAAAAGCAGTTATCCAAATCTGTGAAAAGAAGGAAAATTTATCATAAAGTGTGAAAAGATTAAAAGATAAAATTAATAATCTGTAATGTTCAAAGAGTTTTTTCTTAGGAAGAACGTTTAGAAATAATTATTTTGTAAGGGATAGTGGCACGATCCTGCATCTGGCAGCAACAGTGGGTATGTGTCAATATACAATTTGAACAATCTCACTGTGTTGGTGTGGGTTTTCGGTGTTCCAGTTTCCTCCAACCTCCCAATGACATGCCAGCTAGGTCTGACTGGCTATTGTAAATCGTCTTTTTCCATGGCACTATAATTTACTCTGACCCAAGGGGAGACCAGTCATATGCTCACAGCACTGCCTTTTCCCCTGTATTTGTGAGATAGTCTTTGGCTTGCTGCAATGTTACCGATAATGAGAATCACCAAATGTGAATTGGCTTGGATCAATTCTTACAACCACACACCAACCCCAAGAGGGAAAACATTTGGTCTTCCTCCACAATGTATTCAGTCATATCAGTCAAGCTACAGTATTCACACTGTAACCCTACAGCACATGTAGATAGGTTAGCACTGAATGGAAGAGTAATGGGGCTCTCTTTGACCATATCGAAATCTCACAAGTCTAGGCTAGCCAGAAGAATCACTAATACACTATAAGCCAAAAAGTGTCCCAGCTTTCCATTGAGTGAGTTGAAGGATTCATTGTAGCTTAAGGGATAGGCTTACTGATACAGCCAAGATATGAACCTTCAATGCCTTAGCATCAGGACTTAACACACATTCCAAGTTAAGAAACGTCTTTATTCAATGAGCTACTTAGAATCCCAGCATTAGTCAGCTCTGCCCATCATTTTATACAGTGTTGGAAAAGGGATTTCAAAAAGACACAGGAGAGCCTGGTCCTGCCCTGGCAAGCAATGGGCACAAGGTAGGATTTACCCTGAATGGGATGATGCCAGTGCCTCACATCAAGACCAGTTTAACCAGAAGCCACTTATCCTACCAGTACATCTTTAAGGAAGGAAACTGGAGCATCTGGAGGAATTCCACACATACATGAGGAGAGCATAAAGTACAAACTCCATGCAGATAGTACCCCAGGAATTTGGCTCAGGGCCCCAGTGTTGTGAGGCAGCAATGCTAGCCATTGCACTACTGTGCCACCCTATAATCATGCTTTAATTTTATGTGCCTAGTCTATGAAAGTGAAACTCTATTCTCAACCACAATCAAAGTGAGGTACTATAAGGAAACTGTAGGTTAATTTTCATAGATCTAAATTAACAAAAGTAACTGTTATAAAAAATGTATTTGATGAACAGTGTGCAGTGAAATGAACTGTCTTCCAAGACATGAATTTATTAGCTTGAAAACTTTTATGTGAGCAACTTTTATTTGCTCACATTTAAAACTCATTCGATTTTTAAAAGCTGAAATGATAAACTTTTAAATACATACAGTATGATCTACATATTGTCAATAAAGAAGGTATTGACAGATTTACTACACGTTGTGTTGACTATGTGTTCTCCTAAATGCACTGTCAAGAATCGGAGGTAGTATTCTGGTATTATGGTTTGTGATGTTTCAAATCAGACAGTATGCAACTTTTTTGCTTGTTTTTCTCTCTCATTCTTGAGACAATACGTTTTTCTAGGTGAAATTAGTTGTATGTTCTAGTTTATATCAACAGAAAAAAACAGCAAGAAATCAGCTGCAAGTCTGGCAACTGACCCTATTCAAAGTCGGTCCTACAGGCACCAAACTACTGTATCAAGTCTGGGTTTAAGGCATGCATTTAAGAGATAAGTAAAATAATCACTCAGACATTTACAGTTTTTTTGTTCGAGGAACTCTCTTCCACAGACGTAAAACTAGGACAAGAGACCAAGTCAAGTAGGGCAATAACAAATAAACCATCAGATAGAGGTTTCCATAAGAAACAATCAGCTGACTTTTAAAATAACACCACTTGTAGTCCTAATAGTTTTCTAAAAACATAAATGGTAAACACAGGGAACCTTCAAGAAACATTGAGTCAGTGGAGACAGTATCTCTTTTTTTTCCAATTTAATTTGATGTCACATTTCTTTTACGTTATTACTGAACTTTAATACAACACTAGACTCTTCTGTTTGACAAATCTGCTGCAGCATGGCTAATGCCTTTTGAAATAGAAAGCTCATGAATCCTTTCTTTTTAGGAGGCCAAAACTCAAACATCTCCCATTATACTTTTCCAGATCATTGCAAGTGGAATTTGGTGCGACAGTTATTTTAAGTAATCTTCTACTATAAAAAAGATCAAAGCATTCCATTGGTATACCAATTGCTCCACTTGATATGGAGTCCAAAACGCAATAAAACATACAGAAATAATTAAGAAAATGTTACTGCATAATGTTTTTAATACTAATATGATATCCTTGAAAGGTGGTTTGCAGGGCTGTTTTGGCACTGAGTTGGCACAGAAGGCAGGAGCATGAAAGTCAGAATGTTTTTTTTCTTTCAATTCATGTGCATTCACATTTAACAGTTCACTATCTGAGAGACAAAACCTTCTTTTGAAAAATGGTCCTCTGAGTGTATTGTAACATGTAAAAGCACTTAATCCTTTCCATCTCATTTCAGAAGGCATACAGCAGATATGATTTACAGATACTGCTATTTACTATTGGTTTTGTTGCCATAAGTTATAAATCAGGCAAATAATGTTAATTCCTTCACAAGAATCTTCAGTATATTGTTACTTTGTTTGAAATGAAATTTAGATATTACCATATACTGGAACAGCAAACAAATATAATTCAAGATTTATATTACATAATACTTCTTGCCATGTTTAGCTTTCTTGAAAGCTGTGTTCTGTTGTTAATACATGTATGTGCTAAAATGTATGGTTCAATTGAGCGCCAATTATAGACAACAAGGGTAAATGAGATGATTAAAATTTTGCCACTTTAAAGTATTTTTACTAAGGACAATAACATCCAAGAACTGAATGCTTAGTGAATGTTTTGAATACTTGGTGAGATAGGTTTGGCTTAACTTGAAATAGGATGAGGAGGCTTGAACCCCATTCACGGAGGAGTGAATCAAGGGATAGCTGCAAGTATAGATGGGGCGGAGGAGGGATGCTTGAAGTGAAGGGAGTCATTTATGTTTGATATATATTTAATTTCTGTAATGATGGTGATTAAATAGAACTCTGTGTGATTGACTTGTCCCGAACTTCAATTAATGACTTCGATTTCATGAATATTGTAAATATGGAAGGTTTATAAAACCATTTCCAATACGATTTATACAATACATTCAAGAAATACATTTCTAATTTTCTATACTGACTTCCTGAAATAACGTACTGACAATCTGTTTGCAGTTTCAGAGAAAGGAATGATACAGGTAGGAAACCAAAAATTGATCTTTAACAGAAAACCTAACAATATGATTCCATAATTCTGACAATGGAAGGGAATCTCACATAGAGTGTTATACAACTTGTGTAGTTTAATTTACACACTATTCATTTTTCCATCTTGTATAATCCAGGGCTAGACTCCAGTAAAATCATAATCATACCAGTGACGAAAAACCAAAAATAAGATTATCTTTCCATATGACACTACCAACACAACTGCACTTTGTGAATTGACAGGAAAGGCAGCATTGAAAGGTTTCTCATGGGGAATAAATTTGCCATTCGCCAAAAGGGGCGTAGTGCCTACTCAACAATCCACTTCAACTGATTTAACTCCCTGCTTTCTTTCCTGTAGCATGGTGCCTGAAACGCCATGAGGCTGAATCTTTATGTATTACTTAATGTATAATTTTACCATGACTTCACTCAATTTAAATTTTATATCTTTATATAAATCCAAACATTTACTTGAGGCCTGTGAAGCACAAGGTGGTGCAGTAGTTTGTATTGGTGTCTTGCAGTGCCAAGGCCCTGAGTTCAATTCTAGATCTGCTCTCTGCGTGGAGTTTGTACGTTTTCTCCTTCCTTGCATGGGATTCTTCGAGGTGTTGTGGTTTCCTTCCAGAGTCCAAAGACATACTGGTAGGTTAAATGTCTTCTGGCAAGATCTACATGTGAGTTTGTGGGTATCTGTGTATTCCCTGTGATGGACAGGCATGCTGTCCGGGGTGTATCCTGCCTTGCATCCATTGCTTGCAAAGAAGCGGTTAAAATAATAGAGGATTGGATTGAGGGCTTTTTTAAGTGCTTGTCTACACTGGATATTTGACGAAAGTGATGAGTTTGCATAAAATTCTAGATCTCACCGATACTGTGTTTCTTATAGTTCAATAGCTCTCCTTTTATATTTGAAATATAGTTTACATGTTTTTCTTTTGTTGTCTAGACTTGTAAACATGATACTGTCAAACTGGACTCAAAATCTGGACTCTACACCAAACTAAAAAAGCTAATAAATACTGATATTAGGAAAAAACAGATTTTTAAGGAATGTAAGAATCAGAAAAGATTCTCAATTGCATGAGCATTCTGTCACTTTTCTATGGCAAACTTACAGTAAATCAGTTCAGGTGTAAAAGAATAGATTGAAATATCTCATAATAAGTGTCATGTATGTAATCAAAGTGGTTTAACTTGACATCAGACTAAACATGTCTACCTCTATATGTTCTTTTAGAGTTGTATTAAATTTCAAGCCACAACTCATATAGTTAGACAAATCAATGAAGACCATCTAAGAACTTTCAAAACTAATCAGGGATAGAATGGTAGAGGTACAGGTAAAGAGAAAATCACCTTTTTGAGCACAGTGAAGTCCACCATTAAGAAATTAAATGTCCATCATAGATCTATACACTGCTTGCATTAGGCCGCCCTTTCAAACTGAGCAACCAGGCAAGCAACAAATGGGTTATAGGTGCTACTGTAAAGCCAAGAATGACACTGAAAGATATGCAAAGCTTTTGTTCATATACACACTATTCATACAGTGTAAAGATGAGATGAAAGGTGAATAATTATTCAATCACTTAA